TATATATTTATATATAATAGTACGTGAACCTATTTTTATATGTATATATATATGATTTTATGTGAATACACCTCAATATATATAGAATGGCATGTTTAGTATATCGCATACAACATGAGCACACGTATGTATTTAAATATTTACGTATCTAACGAGCAACACGGTCCTTCTGTGGCAATCCGACTGATGCATCCAAGGTGCATATGGTGCCCTCCTGAGTTCGTTTCTCGTTTTAAACGTTAAGCGTTGTACTTTCGTGTGGATTTCAAATTCTCGAGACAACAGTGTATGATTTTAAATACGTTATCACGTATAGTAAAGGTTTACTGACATTTGGGCTAAATACGTCTCTACTTTAAGTCTTTATGTTAAATACTATCAAACCACAGGAACCAGCCACCCGCCAAAATCGGCGATGCTTTCCATCCTAGTCAATTTACCCCGTGTACTTTTCCTACCAATAGGAAATAGGTTTAAGAACTTTTTCACCAATCAATAATAGGACTTAGAACTTTTCCGCGAATCAAAAAAGTGAAAACACACACTGCCGTGCGCCCATAATAGCTGTCAGCTGAGTTGGCGGCCATGATCGAAAGGCAAATAGCCACACCGACTTCAATGTGAGCAGACAAGTTGTTTGTTATTTATTACTTGCTTGTTAAGTCGTTGGTTAGAAGTTCTTCACTCGGTGCTGGCACGCATACGGAATCAAATACGTAAGATAGTCCACGGTACAACCAGAGCGACAGGGCTTGTAGCTATGGTCTGTGACCAATGTCGGTAGTTAGTCTTACAGAACAATTACAATACCTAGAGTAAGTTTCGAATACAGTGGAGATTCAATACGCCGGTATTACCTAAATTTTTATTTTGTTTATTACGTGTATTGCACATTTTGATCTCTCCGGTAACATTCAGTTGTCTCCACTAACACACTCACACTTGTAATACAATGGGGGGTCGTGGGCGTAGTCGAACGCGCAGTCACAGCAGCAGTCGTTCACTATCACCAGCACCTCGCAGCGACAAGCATAAGCGTGCATCCAAATCGTCGTCATCCCGCAATAAGTCTAGTAAATCCAAGAAATCCAGTAGGAGTTATAGATCCCGTCGGTCACGCTCTCGCAGTGATAGCTTTAGTCCCAGTCGCAGTGGCAGTGAGAGTAGGGACAGGAGTCGAAGTAGAAGCGCATCATCGGACAGGGAGAGATCGAGGGACCGGGGCAGGCGCCACGGGTCACGCTCGGCTTCTGGTCGAAACAAGCATAGCCATAGGAAATCATCACACAAGGAAAGCAGCCGTAAAGATAGAGATAAAGAAAGAGATAGAGACAGGGGGAAGGAAAAATATCCCGAGAAATCAAGATTACGTAGGGATGAAAAACCGGAATATTCAGGTAGTTCCAGTGAAGACGAAGATGAGAAACGTTCCAAACGTCGCGCACTTTCTCAAAGTCGAGAGTCTAAGAGGTAGGCCTAAGTATGAATTTATGTCTAAAACTACAGATTCACAGCGCGCGAACACATAGACACACAAACACACACAAAACACTCACACACTCACTCACACAC